AAAGGTGGTAGGTATTTGGTGTAGTTTTTTTTTTAAGTTTTGTAATAAAAATTGGTGTTTTGTAGTTGTTGTTGTTGAGACAGAGAGAGGTTTGTTCAAAACACAAATGAACCCAAAAAAAGATAATAAAAAAATAAGAAACAGTGTTAAAAACAGTACAGTTCAGTGATAAACAGTAGTAGTGTAATATAGAATAATATTTAAAATTAAACATTAAAAAAAAATAAAATACATAAACTAAAAACCATAGTTTCTTTTAATAGACTTTAAAAGAAATTCAATTTTTTTTTGTCTTAACTAATAAAATTAACCAATATTAATAAATAGTTTGAATATCATTTTTAGATGGGTTTACATTTTTTCTCGTTTTCTTTGATTTTTTTTTTTGTTAAATAGCTACTGGTTAAGAAAAAGAGCATTTGGTTAATTATTGTCTTTTTTTTACTGAAAATGAAATAGCATTCCAAAATTAAATGTAGTTTGTAGCTTTTGTTTTTTGACACAAAGAAACTCAACATTTAGACATTCTAAAAGCATTGTAATGGTAATTGTGTTCAATTTTTGTTCTTTTGTATTTTCGTATTGAATTTTGTTTGGGTTTGTTACTGTTGACTTTCTTTTTGGTGGTGTTCTGGGTTAATTTCAATGTAATGTGTCTGCGTTTTTTACTCATAATGATGATGAATATGTTGTCAAGGGGTTTGGGAATATGTTTGCGTTTTTTACAAAATGATAAAATACATAAATAATAAACTACAATAGAATTTGTGAGAATTATTTTCAATGCAGTCGAAAGAGGTTTTAATTTCAATAATTTGTAATATTTGTATATCAAAAATTTTGCTCTGCAAAATTATTTTCATCAAAACCAATTTCGACTGCAAATGTAGTAACTATACAAAATGTTATAAATAAGTATAATTATGGTACAGAAAGTTTATTACAGAATTTTGAGTCTATTTCTAGTTTTTGCAAATAATTGTTTCATCCCGCAGAGTAGGTCTTTTTGTTACTGTCTCTTATGAATCGAATACAGGGTGAGATTAATAAATTGCAACCAACTTTAGACTGGTGTAATTACTAAGCCACTCGTCCGACATCTGTTAAAATTATTCCAGTGACAGCTCATTATATTGTTTACAAGCTAACAAAAGCATTTTGGTGAGAATTTTCCAGAAAAAAAAGTTAAAAAAGATGGAATTCAAGCGTGCCATTTCTTTATATTTAGCTGGAAAACAACAAGTAGCTATCGTTAGAGAACTGCAGAATTCAAATGTGAATAAACAAAATAAATCATTTGTGGCCTGTACCATCCATCGTTACTATGATATTGCTAGCGTAGCCCGACGTGAAGGAAGTGGACGAAAGAAACCAGCACCATCAGCAGAAATCGAAAAGTAAAGAAGCTACTTGATCGAAACCCGCATGGCAGTGGCCGAAAAATGGCTCATGTGCTGAACATATCGCAATATCCCATTCGCCAAATATTGAAAAATGAGCTCGGAGTAAAACCATTGAAATTGCAAAAAGTGCAAGAACTTAAAGAGCTAAATAGTTGCTTCGCTTGGTCGAAAGAGGTGAACTGCCGAATTTGGTTTTCTCCGATGAGAAAACATTCGTTGTCCAGCAGTTTGTAAACAAACCAAATGATCGTGTTTACTTTCCAAAGAGGTCAGCTGAAAATGTGCACCTTCGGTTGGCCACCAGAACAGAGCTCAAGCGCCGGCCATGGTGATGGTGTGGGCCGCCATAAAAGCAGATGGTCGCTCTCCGCTCATATTAATCGACCGTGACATCAGAATAAATGCCGAATATTATCGCGAAACTATTCTACCTTGGGCACGCAAACATTTTGTCCGCATTCCAACAGGACTCAGCAACATCGCACTCAGCAGGCTCCACCCAAGAATGATTACAAAATGAGGTTCCTCGCTTCATTTCCAGCGCACAATGGCTGGAATATTTTGGACTATTGTGTCTGGAATATTTTGGAAATCAAGGTTGGCACTAAAAAATACTGTCGATCATCTCAAACAAGCGCTTCGCCGGGAATGGACCAAAATACCGCAGAGCAAAATGCGGGCAGCGTGTGACGGTTTCATTGGCCGTTTGAAGGCCACAATACGTGCCAAAGGTGACCAATTCGAACAAATCTAAACTTATTCTAAGATTTGATGCTATTTTCGACATTTTTGCTTTCATTCAATAAAATTAAAAAAAAAATGTAAAAACTATGGCGTTTGACTTTGTTTGAGGGACTATGTTAAGTCCGCTTTAATTGACGCATTGGAAGACAATATTGAAATTTATATTCGTGAGATAGCGTTTGAAATGTTGGAAAGATGCGTAATATTTGCGTGAAATAATCTTCGAACATTCAATTATATGGATCATACTATAAATTCAGATAAAATATTAATCCATTTTTCGGAATTGTATGTGTTTTTATTTCATTATTGTCATAATTTTTTAACACTTTCCTATTCCTCCTTAATAAACGCCCTTTCACTGTACCTTTACGTATTTGGTATTTTTTTTGTTTTTTCCAAACAGTTTATCGGAATTTTTCAAAATGAAAGTGGGAGTTCCAAATGGGAACTACCTCCTACGCCAGAGATTGCCTACACTAATCTACATCTTCATATAGCCTCATGTAACGGTACCTCCTTATATCCGATATTTTTATGATTTTAACTACTATATTCAACGGTATTATTTAGAATTTGGTGTTGACAATAGGTACTATTTGCTCTGATAAAAAATTTTCTGCACAGATCAAAATTTTCGTATGGTCCCATATAAAGGTATTTTCGGTATTTTGGTGACGTAATTATTTTAAAGTGATATTTGATGTTGACAATAGGTACACATACATACATTTGTATATAACGATATTTGTATTTTAATGATTTATGTCACATTTTTCAACGTAATTGGTATTTGTAATTGGTAGATCATGACAGGAAATTACCTATATAGGTCCACTTTGTTGTGTATCTCCCTTATAATGGTACCTTCCAACTTTCGATATTTTGCTGATTTCAGCCACATTTTGCAATGGAATTATCTCAAAATTGATGTTTAGAGTTCTCAATAGACATCGCTTTATCTGGAAAGTAATTGGCTATATAGGTACACGTTTTGAATTTTTATACCTTCCACCATTCTCTGAAGGCATTGCGTTTTGGCATTTCGTTTCTAACTCCTCGAAATACTTATGATAGACCCCATAAAGTATCTATATTCTGCATCAACGTAAAATTCTAAGTCGATATAGCGATGTCCGTCGGTCTGTTGTAATCACACTATCTTTCGAAAGCATTGATATAGAAGGCTAAGGTTTTACACCCATGTGTATTTTTTAATATAGCACCCATTTTACGGTACCATCTGATATTCGGTGTTTTGATGATTTTAGCGACATTATGGGCCGGAATTTTGTATTTTAAGTTCATAATGGGCAATGGGTACTACAGCCTGCATTACATATGCAGATCCATGTCTTAATTTAAGCTTTATTTTTTTATTTTATTATTTTTTTGAAAATATTCAAGTTTCTTTAAAATGGTGAAGGGTATAAAAATTTCGGTGTACCCGAACTCAGCTGCTTTTTTTTGGTTTCATTTTAATTTTTTGAAACTTTGAGTTCCATCAAAATATTGGAAAGTATTCAAATTATTAAAGAAAATCCAAAATTGAACTGGAATTTAAGATTAAATTTCTCAGAAATCTCCTGACCAACATTTATGATATTTCATTTTTAAATTACTCTGCGACCATTTTAAAAATAACTTCCCAATACAGGAAAGAATTAATAAGACAGGCTTCAAATTATCCGGCGAAGAATTAGTATAACAGTTTTCAAGGAATGGCCCGAGAGTGGCCTTTGCATACTGTTTTTGTTTTTATAAAAATAAAATATTTTTAATTTCCAGCTAATAATCATTATACAGATTATTAATTTTAAGAAAATCTAAAATTGGACATAAGTCTTAAATTCAACAGAAATTTCTCGACTAAAATTTGTGATGCTTTTGAATTGAAAATTATCGTAAAATACATACTGTCATATATTTAAATAGCAAAGACATAACGTCATAAAAATTAATATAACATATTTTCAAGTTTTCACATAGTCGGGATCGGAATTTAAAAGAATATTCAAAGTTGGGCCTTAACCCAATTATTTTTTTATTATTATTTGTTTATTATTATTCTCAACCCTGATGATATTTCAAATGAAGATGCTAGTGAAATTCGTATGTTATTGGGACAGAAGAATAATTTCAGAATATCCTCCCAACGCAGTCAAAAATTGTTATAACAGGTTTCTGTGGAAAGATTTTGATCCTTCATTGTGACCATAAGCAACAGTAACATACAATAGTATTATGGAGGAAGAGATATACATCATTCAAATTTAAAAATAGTTTTTATACATCAATATACAAATTGACCCTGACTTATAAAAAAAAAAGATTTTTTTGGAAATTCTCACAAATTCCAAATCTAAACTAAAAAAGGACAACTAAAAGAGACCATAAAATAAAAAAATCGAACTAAACATAGGATTTAAAATTATTTTTTCTGTTTTTATCGAATTGTGGAAATAACATTCAGTTAAAGGATAATAATAATAATTTCGAGGTCCAAAGATGCTAGCAAATAGAGATTTCGTTTAATTTAGACTGTTTGGTTGCCACATGGATGCAGTAATCAAAATCGGGTGGGGGGGTTAGTGAAACACAAAATCAAACAACTAAACAAGAATAATGACATTTAAATTCAAAAAGACATCGATCGATTCTTCTAACTAGTTGAAAATGTTAGATGTATGAGTAGTCGAGAAGGGGGTGGGGATAGAGAGGGGATGGATCAAAATTAAGGCAATGAGGAAAATAACGAGAAAAAGTGTTCCTTTTTTTGGTTTTCTGTTTTTGGTTGGTTAGATAAGTCTTTCTTGCTTAAACGTTAGTGTTTACAAAATTTTCTGTACTTACATCGTGCTGTTGTTGTTGTTGTAGTTTATAGAAAAGAGTTGGTGGTATTTTGGTGGAGATGATATTATTATTATTGTTGGTGGTGTTTTTTTTTTATTTATTGTTGTTGTTGTTGGTTTTGTTGATGATTGATAGATTTTTTCATGTTGTTGAAGAGAGATAGAGATTTTGTTTTCAAGTTGTTGAGTTGTTGTTGTTTTAAAATGGCGTTGAAAATTTTGATGATTTCGAATGATGTGGGGAATTGTCAGCGGAGAATGTGGAGTAAATTTTGTAGACAAATGATAATTCATTTAAATTTGGCAAATTTTGAAGCAGATTTTCATGAGAGATTGAAAAATAGTGGTGTTGTTTGGTGGGTGGATGGTTGGTTGGTTGGCAGTGTTGCAAGTGTTCAAAAACAGTGTTGGAGATTGAGGTGTGTGTAGGTTGGGTTGTTGTGTAGTTGCAGGGTAACGTTGGTGTTCATTTGGTTGTTGGGTGTTTCAATTATTTTCATATTTGCAAATAATTTTTTTTTGTCAGACCCCATTTCATATTGTTTTCATTTTTTTGTCATTATGGTCAAATTTGTTTTCAATCGTACACATTTATAATAAATTATGAAAAAAAGGAAAATTAAAAAAAGAAATATATGAGATTAATTATATTCAAAATGGCTTATGATTATAAATGAGCAAATTTTTTAGTTAATTGAAAAAGAACGTTTGTATATATTTATATATAAATATTTAAAAAAATATATTAACTCGTAATTAACAATTATATTCCCACATAAGTAATAAATATATTTATACGAAAATTGAATATATTTGTATTATATATATTGTTGCTATTTATATATGTATTAATATTTATATATATAGTTTGCATTTTAATGAAACCTATTTAGAACCCCTTAAAAGTAGATAAGCTAAAGCTCCATAAAATTAATTAAATCATCATCCATTTCATAACGTAAACTTGGTGTAGAATTTATTACAAAAATGTAACACCCCTTTCAACAAACACAAGACATTACAAAAAAACATATTGGGCATCATAAGATTGGAAAATCTTATTAAAGCAACTTATTTTTTTTCTTAATTTTTCATTGCATAAATAACATATTTATAGTTTAAATAAAGCATTTAATTCATCTCTAGTAAAAGTGTATTTTTTCTGTTATATTTTTTTTTATTTTTTTCCTTTGTTTGGATCGAGCCAAAACAATGCCTAACAATTTAATTTGTATTAGCCACAGCATAATAATATAAAATAACATAATATAATCTTGATAATATTTACCCCAAATTCCATCCATAATGCATCCACAATACTGCCCAAGACTGTGATTAAATCGAAGATGTTCCAGGGATCTTTAAAGAAATTCTAGAAGACAAATGAAAAATAATTTTATTTATAATTTCAATATTATGTTAATTATATTTTTTATTATTTCTTTTTAATATTATATTTTTTCCCTTGATTTTTATAAAGCCTTTTGCTGAAATTTTCAATGTTTTTTTCCTCGTGGCCAAAAACATCCAGGAATGTTCACATTAACGGCCACCTTCTTACCTTGATGCCAAATGCTATTAATTTCATAAGAGTTTCCAAGGAGAAGAAAAATGTTAAGATCAAATTTAGGATGATCAAAATTTCATTGTGTTTCGGTGGTGCATCGTGATACTATAAAAAGAATTAAATGAAAAATATTCAGGTTTCGATAAGAAATAATTAGAAGAGAATTAAAAAAAAAAATAATAAAAATAGTAGAAGTAGAGAAAATTGTTTTTGGATTTCAGATAATGCATTTGATGTGAAAATATAAATGGAAAAAATATGTAACCCACACATTACAGTATTTATGCTACCTAAGAAACAACTAAAAAGTGTAAATTAAAATCAAATAATGAAAAAAATTGGTATCCCTTTAAATTCGATAAAAAAATATATTTTTTTATGAGCCTCATTATTCCCGAAAAATTGATTATAAATGTCGGACTTTCTTCAAAATTTGGATCACATTATTAGATGAAGTGAATATATGAATATATCTGGTACATTACGTATGCTTCAACATTTTCCAAAAATGATCGCATATCTCATATAACGTTAAAATCGAGAAATCCAATCCCAACTCTTCAAGTTGCGACAAAAAAACCCGTTGACCCGTTTGGATCATGGCTTTGTAGCGCCCAACATCAGAGTAACCATTTGGTCGGCGACGTCTTCGAAGAAGACGACTCCTTCAGCGAAAATAGCACACCATACGGTGGATTTTGAAATGGACCTCACCCCTCTTGATTTTTTTTTTGATGAAAATTTGCGAGCAGCTTTCGCCACAATGTCTTTATTTGGGGTTCAAGAATTTAAGGAAAAAGTTATTTTAAAGTCTAAATATATTAAAAAAAAGTGGAAAGTCCTTTAAAATTTTTTGGACTTATAGGAGATCGTGTATAGGCCTTCTGTGGATTAAATGCAATAAAAAAGGAGAGTCTTTGGAGTATTTCTGTAATTTGGAAAATGTCTCTATGAATTTTTAATCAAAATATGATTGGTTTTGATGGATTTTCATTAACTAATCCTCATCCTGAACCCCCCAAAAAAATTACGAATCCTGTGTGCATCCTGTCAGATTTTACCTAAAGCATATCGGAAGATTTTTGAACGTAGAATGAAGACGTATGCCCTCAGACTAATGGCTACAGATAGGGTATACCTTTTGATAGGCCAAAATGTGCCTAAACGAAGTAACGATTTTTGAAAATGGCTCGAATTAATGAAATCCATTTCAGGACAATTACAACAATGAGATCTCTTGTTGTCCATCTGTCTCTTTACACTCAACATTATAATTTTCTATGGCAGTATTTGATATGATGCAAACTTAGTACAACGTAATATTGTTTCACACTAGGTACTCCTTCTGGTACCTCTTTCACAAAAATTTAAAATTTGACAAAACAATTTAAAAATTATCAATAATTTTGTCAGCAGATATATATCCTCAACCTACATATCCTATCTTTATACTAAATCTAATGTTAACCAGTAAAGATAATCTTAAAGTTGGGCAGGGCCGACATTATGATACCCTGCACCACTTCACATATTTAGTAGAGCTTCACATGACAAATGAAACTTTTTATTTAAAACTTATATATGAAAGGAATATCCTGTTCTGAATCGATTACTATAAAATTTGCAGAGGCATTTGTGCCTTTTCAATTCTGTATTACCCATTTGGTGCACAATTTAAAATCGGATAAAGATATATATGGGAGCTATATCCAAATCGTAAGCGATCTCGATTATTATTTCTGAGCTGTATTTGATATATTTCCCCGAATATTGTTACTACGGAGTGCATATTACAGCAGGACATATTTAAAAAATCGGTTGAAAATTATATATGGGAGCTATAGCTATATCTGAACAGATGTTCACCAAATTTGACATACTTATTTCTAGCCTCAATTTGGTCGCAAGTGCCAAATTCCATCCCATTTGGCCTAATATTATACGTTTTAAAAATAAAAGGCAAACTGGACGAAGATATATATGGGAGCTATATCCAAATCTGAACCGCTTTCGATTAAATTTAGAAAAAAGTATTTCTAAATTTTATTTTATTTATTTTCCCAAAAAATCGTTGTTTCAGAGTGTATATTACCGCTGCGGAGGACAAAAATAATAAATCTGTTCATACGATTTATTATTTTTGTCGATTTATTATTTTATATGTGAGCCATAGCTATATCTGAACCGTTTTCGATCAAATTTAGCACACTTATGTTCGGGCCTAATATGGTCGTATGTGCGGAATCCCATACTATTTGGGTTGATATTATTGATGCACAATAAAATGCAAATCGGACGAAGATAAATATGCGATATATATCTAAATTTTGATCGATTATCTCCAATTTCATAGGGTTCGTCCTAGGGTCAAAACAATTATTTGTGCAAAATTTCATCAAGGTCGGGCAATAAATGTGACCTGTACATTGTTTACAAAAATACATTGACAGATAGACACGCATACATCGAAATAGAATGTGATTCTATGCCGATCATCAAAAGGAACTATGGGTCTATCTCGTTTTCTTTTGCCTGTTACAAACAAATGCACAAAGATATAATACCCTGACCACCTTATGGTGTAGGGTATAAAAATGGGAAAATATTTTTAAATTTTATGAGAGTTACAATTTATGAACTTTTTTTGGAAAGGTACAAGAAAGATTGGGTCGGTCAGCACCATATTCGCAACAGAACTAAAATTTGTGGAAGTATGGTTGAAAGTTAAATGAAATATCGGAGAATTAGTTTTCATTTAATTAATGTTATATGTATTCAAAATGTTGATCTTTAGTTACCAGAAAATGTAGTCCATCCTAACCAAACTTCAGATCAAGGTTTGAGAGTAATATTGGTATGAGCGCAATCAGACTCTTCACTTTTTATAAGATTTATGATTATATAAATATTTTTGTTTAGCATTGCCCACTTCCGAACTCGATTTATGTTTGATAATAGTATTACGATGCATGGAGTTTGGACGTAATCCGATATTCTAATCGAGATTTGGTGTGTACACCGGCCAGACAGACAAAGGGACGGAGGGAGGCGCAACTCTAAATCGACTCCAAATTTCCTACAAAGAATTTCATCAGAAGAATTTTTTTGCATTGTCAGGAATTTTGAAAGCCGTATATAAAAATCATGTTTTTTAAAAATGTACACAATTTTTTAATGCTTAGAGGAACCAATTGAAACCCTTCTTTACACATACTAAGGATAAGTACCAGAAATTCGGCATGAAAATTATTTCTTCTATTTCAATTTTCTATCTCTTTTTCTATAATTTTCTATAAAAGACCTTCGATTTAATAAGGCACACATTTCAAACAAAAAATTAAAATTTTTGGAATTTTTTATGCTTTTTTGTCCGAGAAAAGGCAGGTTAACGAAATCTCAGGAGCAACATATTTAGCCATTTTGACAAATTTTTTAAAATGTGGGGAATTATTTAGAGGGTTGGGTTAAATTTACAGAAAATATATCTTGATTTAATTGTACTAGAAGTGAGCTCATTTAGAGAATGAGAAACTGTTTGAAATCTATAAAGTTTCCTAATTCTGATACAAGTAATTTTGGTTCTTGTCTTCACCATTTCTTCAATTGGGCCCGTAAATTTTACATTTACTTAAAATTCAAAAAAAAAAAAAAATTAATAGATAAAAATAAAAATTACACCTGCCGATTTGTGTCTTTTTCGAATGGAGTTTTATAAAATATTATCTTTTTTAACAATTTCGTTAAATGTGAAAGCAATTGACATGCTATTGTGTGCTTGTTATTGATTAATATTCAAAAAAAACAAAAAAAAAAAAAAAAATCGAAAATATATATGAATCAAATTATAGAAAGAAAAATATTAAACCATGCGACCGCTCATTTTTAAAGCCTTGTAGCAGCATAATCCTGGATGATGTATTTTTTTGTGAAAGCATTAGTTAAACTTACCTTTAAATAAAGTCGGTCATAAATAATATTAATATCAAGGAAAAGAAGCGTAGCTTTAAATATAAATAATTGTTAAAAATATTATAAAATATGAAAAAGTAACGGAACAAAAATATATAAAATTTTCTTAAGAGAAAACATTGTAAATTTCAGCATTTTATCACATTTTTACAGCTTTATAGAAACAGGGCACTTTTCTCAGAAGCCTAGGTACAATTTGTACATTTTTTTGTTATTATTTATGTGGTTTGAAATAAATAATTTCATTTTAATTATTTCAGTTTTTTTTTTTTTTTTTTTTTTTTTTTTGATTGACCTACGTACCTTCACACCGAATCCGATGATTTTCAGTACAGTTTCAACACTGAACATTCCCGTGAATCCCATGTTGATATATTTCAGCGATTTTTCATACATCTCACCTTGATTATGATACTAATAATATATATTTTTGGGTAGAAAATTTCAATGTGAATATATTTATATTTATGTAGATAATTTTATATATATTTGCAATATTTTATATATTTTGGGTAGTGTGGTGGGATCATGGGAAATTGATATATGACATATATACAGATGCGTCGATATGTACACAATGTAAATGAAAGGTACCATGAAGATATGTGAATACATTTTGACAAAAGTGAATGAACAATTGGCGAATGATTTTTTGGAGGTATATCTAAGGATGGAAATATTTGGATACCGAAAATAATCATATACATGTTTTAATGCATGAGGATCACAACTTTTTAAAACTGTAAATCTATATAACTTCAATATTAAACACAATTAAGAATCTTATACATTTTTAAACAACCAACTTCAATGTCAATAAAGAAATAACAATTTTATATTGTGCAGCTGCGTTTGTCCTATATACACGTATGATCGACCTAGCAACCTTCTGGTATGCTTTAATATGATGTTGCAATTTTTATTAGAATCAAATTGCTATTTACCACTAGACTACAATTTTATAAAGCTCGGGACTTATGAATTTTGAGGGTTTCACCTGTGCGCTCAAGCCAAATAGCCTGCGATTTAGGTTTTCAAATATTTGATGCCCGGAAATAATTTATGCTCATAGAGCTCTAAAATTTAGCAATATGGTTCGTATTATATCTAGTATGATGAAATGGGCTTGTCGAAGCTTTCAAACCAAATCAGCTGTAATTTTGCTATTAAGGTTCTCAAGGTATAAAAGTGCTCAATTACTTGAAGACCGATACCGCACATTATAGTCGGTATCATCTAAGTCCATAGAGTTCTGAAATTTGGCACTATGTCTCGAATTGTGGGTAGTATGATGGAAATGGTCTATATCGATGTATAATAAAATGCAGACTCCATATATCTATACCTCATTATTTTCTGTATTTCAAAAGTTTGAAGCATTCGATTATTCATTTAATTCCTTTTTTCAAAGAAGTTTCTACAGTATTTGCTGAAGGTCCTTCTAATGATACCTCCTGATCATGAGGTTCCAGACACTACTACCAACCAAATGAGCACAATGTTGACATTTACAATTTTTGATCGATAAGTTCAGAAAGTAGTTTGGTACCGCACCGCAAGATGTTGTCATAAAAGGCAAAAGTAGGGGATAAAAATGTCTTCGTAGACTAATTTTTATATAAGAAAAAATATTTTGAGCCCTTTTTATAAGACTGATAAGAGATTAAGGGGTATCATTCTAGATGGGTTCTCTAAGCCTTAGTCTAAAGTGTATTCTTCTTCTTTCAGGATAAAAAAAAGTTCGTAAAATGGGGATTTAGAATTTATTTTATAAAAAAATATAAAGTAAGTGAAAAGTCGGGCGTGACCGACTATATGATACCCTGCACCACTATGCATATTTAGTAGAGCTCACGTGACATATAAGATAATAATACCAACTATGAACCTTATTTAAATGTGTATCATGGCTTTAGAGCAGTTATAATTTAGTTACAGTGGGAACTAATATATGTGAGTTATATCCAATTCTGAATCCGATTTGCACTAAATTTGACGAAGGCACGTTCAACTGTCATACCAAATAACATTGTTATAAAATGCACGATATCACTTCGAGAAGAATTATATAAAATATATATAATGGAGCCGAGTTCCGTAAAGTGAAAAAAATCGGTTGAGTATGAACAAATCTATCCAATTTCGGCTGATATTACATATACGGTGGACATTAACCCTAAAATCGAATGAAAATGTATATAGAAGGTATATAAGAATCTAAACCGATCTCGATAAAATTTGGCAGAGGTATATTCAAACTGTATCTTATGTCCGGAATCAAATGCTATTGTTGTGGTGGTCATATTACGAATGTGGAAGACTTAAAACCCAAAATCGGATGAAACATATCTATGGGAGCTATAGGAATATCTGAACTGATTATCACCAACATTTGAAGTACTTGCTTCTGGTCTGAATTCCGTCGGAAGTGCCGAAATTCGGTCTATTTGGGCTGATGTTAGCCATTTGGCGTACAATAAAGGTAAAGATATATATGGAAGCTATATTCAAATCTGAAACGACCTTGACAAAATCTTTAACACTTATTTCTGAGGTATATCGGATATCTGGCACCAAAGATTCCTGTTATGGAGTGCACATTACGCATGTGAGGGATTTAATACCCCAAATCGGAGGAAAAATATATATGGGGGATATCTGAACCGATTTTCACCAAATTTGAAATACTTTTTTCTAGGCTAAATTCCATCGGAAATGACAAATTTTACTTCATTTGGGCTGATATTAGCCATTTGGTGCAAAATAAATATGTTATCGGATAATGATATGTATGGGGATATTTCAAATCTGATCCGATCTCCATAAAATTTGACAGAGGTATTTGTGAGCTTTATAAGACAACTGGTACCAAATATTATTATTGTGGGGTGCATAATACGCATGTGAGGGACTTCAACCAAAATTTGAAGGGCTGAACTGCGTCCGAAGTGCCAAAATTCGGCTAATTTGGGGTGTTATTAGCCATTTGGTCCACAATTAACCCGAAATCGGTTGAAGATGTATATGGGAGTCATATCTAAATTTGGACCGATTATCACCAATAGGGTTCGTCCTTGAACCAAACAAACTGCATTAAGTTCACAAAAATACGTGGATAGACAAAAGGACAGACATCTATGAATCGACTCAGAAAGTGATTCTATGAGGTTCTTCAAAATTAATTATGGACCTACATATTTCGTTTCCTTCTCCCTGTTACAAACAAATGCACAAAGGTCAGGGTATAATGTCCACACTGGTGAAGGATATAAAATTCTCAAGGAAGGGGAAACTGTCTTTTTCTGGAAAACTAAAACAACAGGAAGTCCAAAAAATATCTTCTAATAGAAACCCGAAAAATTCTGATATATGTGGCAAGGGTGTCTTCTTAGTCGAGGAAAAAATATATCGAAAGGGGAGATTACAAAATCTGAATTCTTAGCTCTATAAAGATTGATATTCTTGTTATCAATTTCTTAAGAAGAAGAAAACTCACTAAACTTTTATAACAACACTCGTAAAAATATGATTTTTAAGGAAAATTCGCTTTTTAATACATTTTTACTTAATTGGAGTCTTCTTAGATGGGGTAAGAAAGGATTCTCGAAGGTAGAGGAGATCACAAAAACTGATTTTTCAGCTCTTTAATGATTGACAATTTTAGTATCAACTTCTTAAGAAGGAGTAAATTCACTAAACATTTATAACAACCCTCGTAATAATATACCTTTTATGTCAATTTTGATATTTCAAGTGTAAATAACGCAGCCTCAAAGTAAAATTATTAAAAAAAAAAAATATTAAAATTTTGTACACAAAAAACAAAAAAATTGTTAGTCAAATAAATATTTTCACACTTCATGCCAAATAAAATGTTAAAATTTTAATAATGAATTAATTTGTTAACTTAAGCAACATTTACAAATAATTTACAAATTATAGAAAAAGACACACTTCTACGACAAAATGCTAACGCTCTCATTATTGGTTTGATGGAATGAATGGATAATCACCTAACGATTTTTTAAATTTGTATTGAAATAAATAATCAAAATAAAAAAATCACACAACAATATCGAAGTATGACAAAAATGCATTTTTTTCACAAAATCCAAATACATGAGATTACACAAAACATTCTTAATGAATTACACATGAGAGATGAGGTGAGGGGAATAATGATGTTGTAGTTTTTGGATTCATTTCAACTTACCTTCATCATCAGCAATAAAGTATTGAACACAATTAGCATCATTATAAAGTATTCGAATGGTGTCGATACGACAATACGCCATACTTTATATTTAAATGTATTACGATTTTTGGGCATGTAACGTTCTAATGGTCGCGCTCCTATTGTAAAGTCTATACATGATTTCTGTAAAAGATATTCAATGGAAGTTCAAGAATTAACAAATTGTAATTGGGGGATAATTGTAGATTTTAGAATGAGTTTTCATGTGTTTTATTTGTTTATTACAGAGAAGTTAGAACACATTGCCAAGATTTGTTACAGCAGAGATTGTACAGACGTTCCACACTTATAGTTTAGTTATCTATGACTAATTTCAATAATTCATTTCAGTTAAAATTTAATAGAAAAAACAAAAATATTTTGTTGTTGTGTAAAAAATGGACAAATAAAGCATGTGATTGTTAATTTGCATTACTTAGCCTATTATTGTAATAAATAACATAAAAAATGCATAATATTATTTTTAGGGGCAAATCAGATGTTGGATAAAAGCAGGGGTTTTTAGGCCTTAAAACCCTATTTGTTTGTTCTCCCATGAAATTTTTCAGTGTGCTTGGGCAGTGTTTGCTCTTTGCTTAGTAAAATATTCATTATTAAAAAATATATTTAAACAAGTTAAATAGCATCTGTCGGATCTGCCGGCAGATGTATACCCTCAGCCAATATTTGATTATTTAAACATATATTGACTTCTGTTATGATTATTCAAACTCTTGGCCCTTTTTGGAGCGGGTTCTGAAGGAATGGGCCAATTTTGCCAATTTCGTTGCGGACCTTAAAAAATATGATACTAATATTGCGGCGTGCCTGGTTTGGAAAATATTGGTTATTTCCTTAAATTTATATGAGATATGTGATAATTTTAAGAAAATATTTAAATGTGCCTCAGATACCAGATTTAGACGACCGAAGTATTCAATTTTCGTGCTTCATCTAATACAAATAAAAATCATGGTATGGGAAAAATTACAAGAATTATACCCAATTTTAAGCGAAATCCTACGTTCCATATTCATCTCAGGTTTCTGGTTGAGAGAAGTATTTAGATATAACAAGTTATAAGGTATCGCCGAATTTTTTCGCAATTATGACAGAAATTGGAAATTGTGACTCTTTGTGGTTAAGGTACCCGAACGTGTTATCAGATATCTATCTTCGTCAGAACATGTTTTGCGTTATCAAAAATGCTTGGATCTGTGAAATTTGAAGAGGGTTGGATGCTTTGCGTTTTGTTATTCAAAATTTTGAACACTTTGCGGCAGAAGTATCAGAAAGCCTACGCTACGCGATATATCCCATATTCACAGCAGATCTTGTGGTAGTAGAAGTAATAGGGTGTGTGAAATATAAAGAGAACCGGATGGTTTTTTTTCGGATTTTACAATCGTTTTGGTTATTCAATACTTTGACCCTTTGTGGGGGAGGTACCAGAAGGAATGATCCGATCTCCACCATCTTTATAACAGATCTTGTGTTGATGGAAATATTAAGATTTACCAAGTCTGAAATGGAAACGGATGTTGATTTCGCTTTTTATGAGCTTCATGGATATTCAAAATGTTGAGCCTTTGTTTGGGAGGTACCAGAAGGGGAGGACTGATATATTCCATCTTCACTCCAGATCTTAAGTTAGCAAAAATGATTGTATGTGTGAAAAATAAAGAGACCCGCTTACTCATTTCGGATTTTTTCATAGTTTTGGTTATTCAAAATTTTGATCCTTTGTGGGAGAGGTACCAGAAGGAATGATCCGATCACTACCATATTTATAACACATCTTACGTTGATAGAAATATTGAGATTTACCAAGCCTGGATGGAATCGGATGGTAATTTCGGATGCTTATTTCAGATCTTATGATCGGTTTCGTTATTTAAAATGTTGACAGTTTGTGGGAGAGGTGCCAAAAGAAATGGTCCGATCTGTACCATTTTTATAACAGATGTTGTGGTGATAAAAAAATATTGAGACTTGCCAAGGTTGAATGGAATCGGATGTTAATTTCGCGTTTTATGAGCTTTGTGGATACTTAAAATGTTGACCCTTTGTGGGAGAGGTTCCAAAAGGAGTGAACCGATATATTCCACCTTAACACAAGATCTTGAGTTTATAAAATTATTGGGATGTTTGCAATTTGAAGACAATCGGACTCTTACATCACATTTATAGGAGTTGTAATTATTCAAAAGTTTGACCCTTTGTGGGGGAAGTACTTGATGAAGTAGACCCATATTGTCTCTTTTCGCACCTGACCTAGCACTGTTGCAAATATTTGGATTTGCAAAGTTGGAACAAAATCGGATTATAGTTTCTGTGCAGAAAATATTTTTTTTTTTTTGAAAATTTCAAAATTTTGTGGGGGAGGTACCAGAAGTAGAGGACCGATATTGCCCATCTCCGAACTCGATCTAAGTTTGATAATAATTTTACGATGTACCAAGTTTGGACCAAATCGAATACTTCCTTCGAGAAATATCGTGAGCACCACATAAAAATGCAGGTGATCGGACGGACGGACATCGCTAGATCGACTCGAAATTACCTGAAACCGATTTGGTCCGAAGAGACCTAGGGTCTCTAACCGTTATTTCGATGAGGCACGTTTTGGTCGTATCTAGCGGTATGGCTGAGAGTAATAAAAATCAATTGAAATATAGAATGATCGCCGAACTGTAGGTGATCAGGATACAGTTTAACTATTGATTAACAATTCGAGAGAAAATGAGTTACAATATCATCATAGAAATTTTAAGATAATATTCTACATTACATATTTAACCGTCACAACATTGAAGTTAACAATTTATAATGAAACCGGAAATAAGTAAAAATCAAGTTTGAGCCTGATATGTTTCGCTATAATATCAAATTTGTAATTTGAAGTAATGTATAAAATATTCCCTCAACTGGCAAGCCAACATCTGATTTGCCTTCGAAAAACACCAACATAAGGCAATAAATAAATATCACATTTGTGCCCTTAAAATTAAAACTAATTTGCATTTCAACTTTCTTTGCAATTTATCTAAATTAGCATTTTTTTTGTAAAATAAATATATAGCATTAAAGAAACATAATATCTTAGGCAACTATTTGGTTTTTGCTCTTCTTTTTCTTTTTTTATTTTGCATCTAAAAGCTTCATACAAACCTTGTTAATAATAGCATACAGACACATACACATATTATTTTCATATAAAAGACAAGAGAAAAAAATCTTGATTTGCTAATTTCATCGCAAAACATTTTATTTTGCCAATTTTTCAGAAGGCAAAAACAATAAAATGTTTTGGATGAAACCCATGTCACATATATATTGTGAAAGTTAATAATTGTAATTAAAAACTTTTTATCAACTTCCGGAAAATGTTCAACATTTATACACATTAAATAAAGGACAAAACAATAGTTAAAATAAATAGTAAGAAAAAATATATTAAATAAAAAATTAATAAAACATGAAATCTATGCATGAAAAAGAGTTCGCCGTTAAGGTCTAGCATCTAGTTTATCTAGAAGATTCTGATTTTTTATGTACAAATATTTAAAAAAAATCATCTACATTTTTCAGTTTTTTTTTCATTTTTGATGAGAGACTAAAACTATGCACAATGATCGTAGAATCTAAAAATGTTGCTAGCAAAGTAGACTATTTTTGTTTTGTTTTTGAAAATAATGTAAATGGTCTTACGATCCTAAGTGAAATGTTTTCAAATATATCAACTATTTTATAATAAAAATTAAATGATTAAAATGTAATAGTATTTCTTTAAATAACCCTTAAAGTAAACATAACCAATGTATAATGGGTCAAACTTCCATGTTTATGAATTAAGGCTGCTGCTAATTTTTGTTATTGCCATGAAATAGACAGGTCCTTCCTAGACACTACGGAAGTTCTGTCGTTTAGAACATTAAGAACATGTTCTGACATTTGGAATGTATGTCCGCCATTTGATATAGCTCTATATGGAGGTTCTACCAATCGTAATTTTGTAGTTCGACTTCTCATGACATGAAAAATCGACCACATTTAGACATAAGCCCCGTACAGAGATTCTAGGTGCTGCGAGGGTCAAAAGCGCCAATTCGAGCCGAAATGTTTGTAAATTGCTCAGTGTATGTCAAGACTCTGAAATAGCCGCTATGCAACGTTAGTCCCCAATTATGATTATTTACGAAATCCTAGCCAAATCTTAGAACTGGTCATAGGATCTCCGACAAATATTTCGAAGTGTTGCCGACAGAATGACATAGCTCAAAATCAATAACGGCTTTGATTCATTGTTGCATTTTTGGTACTTAACCAGAGTGGTGTAGGTTATCAAAAAGTCGTTTCCATCCGACTTTGATTATTTTTTCACTTTATTTATTTATTTTTTTTTTTTTGCTGCTCCGATCTTTTGTTACTCATTCTCTTATTCCATTTTTTACGATTGAGATGAAATTTTCCAGAAATTATTTGTTCAGGTCAAGGATAAACCCCATTAAAATTGGTGAGTATCAGTCCAAATTATATATAACTCCCACATATATAGCTCCGATTTAAATTTTATTGTGTGCCAAATGTGAAATATCAGCCCAAAACGGGTGAATTTTGGCACATGCAACCGAATTCAGCCTATAAATAGCTTTATAAAAAATTTGTGAAAATCGACCCAGATATAGTTATAGCACACATATATATGTGGGATATAGAAGAAATATTCCTATGACCAATTTCCCTATTATCAGTTCATGTTTGGATATAGCCCCTATATTTCGTCCAAATGTATAATAACAGCCCAAATGGCATGCGACGTAATATACCTTTCGCTAAGATAATAGTCGGCTCTGTCCAACTTTTGACCTATCTTTTTTTCGCAACTTTTACCATTTCTTCAGAAAGTGTATCTCATCTCCAGCTAGATTTAACACTCATAAAAAATTTTAATATTTGCGAAGTTTGGAAGAAATCAGATAAATCTCCTTCGCTGTATCTTTCTGTACCAAAAGGATAATGTCTACTTTCATAGGCTATCTATGCTCGACACGAATTATAGATGTTTGATATTTCATTCAAATTGGATACTTTCATTACTTTGTGTGATATACACGGTGAGATGAAAAAACTGCAACCAACTTCAGACTGCTGTCATCTCAAAGCCACTCGTCCGACAGCATTTAAAATTATTTCAGTGACAGCTCATTATATTGTTTACAAGCGTACAAAAGCATTTTGGTGATAATTTTCCAGAAAAAAGTTATTCGCAATGGAATTCAAGAGTGATAGTGTGATTTCTTTATATTTGGCTGGAAACCAACAAGTAGCTATCATTAGAGCACTCCTGCATTTAAATGTGAATAAATCTTTTGTGTCTCGTACCATGGCTCGTTACCTTGATACTGATAGCGTAGCCCGACATCAAGGAAGTGGACGAAAGAAAACAGCAACATCAGCAGAAATGGTTCGAAAAGTAAAGAAGCGACTTGATCGAAATCTGCGTTGCAGTGACCGAAAAATGGCTCATGAACTGAACACATCGCAATATTCCATTCGGCAAATATTGAAAATAAGCTCGGGGTAAGGCCATTGAAATTAGAAAAAGGGCAAGGACTTACATCACAACAGAAATCAAGTAGACTCAAAAGAGCTAAAGAGTTGACTCGCTTGGCCGAAAGTGGTGATCTGTCGAATTTGATTTTCTCCGATGAGAAAACATTCGTTGTCGTTCAGGTCAGCTGAAAATGTGCACCTTCGGTTGGCCACAAGTACTCAATCGCCGGCCGTGATGATGGTGTGGGCCGTCATAACAGCGCTCATATTAATCGGTCGTGGCATCGCACGCAAACATTTTGGCCGCAGATATTGGACATTCCAACAGTACTCAACTCCATTGCACTCAGCACGCGCCACCCAATAATGGTTACAAAATGGGGTTCCTCGCTTCATTTCCAGCCCACAATGGCCACCAACATCTAGGGATACCAATCCGTTGGACTATTGTGTCTGGAGTATTTTGAAAAGCAAGTTTGGTACTAAAAAATACCAAAGTGTCGATCATCTCACCTTATTGCAGTTTTTTATCTCACCCTGTTTAATGGAAATTTTCGTTTTTTTTGATATAAAAGTTATTGTCTATTTTACCCGATAAATAATGTCTGTCCAAGGTGGCAGGTTTCTGCCCAGCCCTAAACTATAACTCCATGCAAAATTCCGTTTTTTCTGCTTTTGGTCAATTTCAACCCCTAAATATTTTGCGATCATCTCCAAAAACAATAGGCTTCTATTCTGACCCTTACCACACCTTCTTTCAGAAGATCGGGCCATAATTGTGACCTGTAGCGTGATTACAGTTAAACATGGGCATACCACAGCTAGATCGACCCAGCTGGGCGATATGGGAAGATCCGTATATAGTTTTCTATGTCGGAGACCAATATTTCGGGCTTTTACATAATTTTTGGCCCAATCAAACTTATAATACCCCCATATATAGTGAGAGAAATACAGAGAAATCCATCCAACGACCTAATTTAATAAATAAATATATGTTTACCTTCTATGAAAATTTAGTTGCTAACATAATAGAAGACAATATCTAAAATACTGGATGTATGAATATCTAGAAACAGTGTGCCATGAGCGATTTTATTTTATGCATGTGGATTTTCACAAAATGTCTGTTTAAGTGCACTCCATTATTGTCTAACGTCCGAGATAAATATGTCCGAGATTCTCCCGATTTTTATGAAATTCAAAATTGTGATGACATGTTTGAATTGGGTAAAGTTGCTATTATCCTTATTGCGTTTAATTCGCTATAATTTTCAACTACGCCTTTAAAACGTTTTACCCACGTTCTGGCAATTGAATAGAAAATTAAATTGTTTTTTGTAAAAAAGAAATTCAATATTTGTCTTTGTCTTTCGTTTTCTAAACTAAGCTCAAAGTATTTTGAGCTCAACAGAAGTTTACTAAATATCGTCTGATACCCACGCAAAGGCCATAGGTCAAATTCGTAAGAAAATCCAAATTTGAATGCACAGTAAAATTGTTATTAAGTCGAGAATTTAAAATACAAATATATTACGTCAGAATCTTCAGGAATGTTGGATAAATTCTTTTTGGATAATTTGCTTTTTAGGGTAAGTGTACCAGTAGTCGGCACTTTTAGGATTTTTGAGTTTTCAATCTTTCAACATTCTGAGTGAAATCTTTCAATTGCAGAAAAGTAAAGTTGATCAGATTCCAAGTTTTCCAATACTCGGCATGTCTATTGGCAGTAGTCGGTATATCGTATTTCAGTAAAAATAATATTATTTTGTATATTTTTTTTTTTTTTATTTCAACAATGCTATATTACTAATTCACAGTTTAATCCAAAATTTGAATTTAATTTCGTTTTTTAATTGTGGTTTATTTAATTCTCATTCTAAACCAAATATAGGTAGAAAATCAATAATAGTATGATTACGTATGGATTTTCAATTAAAATAAAAATGAGATTAAATAAAAAAAGAAAAAGGTACCTTTCATATCATTGGAATTTTGTGAATTGATTTTTTCCTATAGATAGCCAACATTTTTTTTTTCGAAAATGCCACCGCTATCTAAATCGTCAAATAGCAGATTTAAAAAAACTACTTAATTCAGAAAAGTTGGTCAAAAGGCACAAATAAAAGCAACTGCCGACTCAAAACTATTTTTTTTTGAGTAGTTTTTGGATTATATTTTTCTAGTAATCGCCACCCCTGCCGACTACTCGCAAATCTCTTTTTTTCTGTTCCCAATATGCCGACATTAAATAATATAACAGAAAAATGCTTGATTTGTATGTTTTTAAGTTATAAAATGATCTTCAGACTGTTACTATTATAAAATATTTCTGATTCCAAAAATATTAAATTTAATTTACTTAAATCGATTATTAAGTTGACGCCACCACTATTTTTTTCTTTTCAAACAAGCTCTATCTCACGCGTTGGAAGACACTCACTGACGAAAACCGTTATTCTCCCGTAATAAATGATCTGAGGTCATTGTTTTTTACAGAAAGAGAGCAGAGAACACTGTTGACGTTTTTGTGCAATTTTTTCATTATTTGGTCAATTCTATTCTTAGTTATTTAATTTTAAATTTCAAATCTGCCGACTACTGGGACATGCCGAATTTAGGCGCACTTACTCTATAAACATTAGTAATTTTGGATAATATTTTAGAATACTTCTTACGACTTTTCTGCGTGTGTCAGACGATAGATGAACTAGGAACAAGTGTGTGATAAATGTGGATTAAACAATGGTGCATTAGCTATGATTATGGAATTGATTAATTATTTTTGTAAATTTTTATGGCATAAATATTTTATAATAAATTGATAATTTCTAGCTGGCGAATGTGTTAATCTCTCTACAAACTATATTTGAAAACATTTCACTTAGCACATAAACCATTAACAGTTTAAGCTGAGACATAAATTTTGAAGCTTTATTTTTTTGTTTTTCGATAAAAATAATTTTGGACTAATTCTAATAGATTTAGCATTTCTTTTTGATTTTGTTAGTTGTTTTTTTTTTACACACAGACAAACATATAAACAAAAATGTACACATCTATGTTTAATCAAATAGTTTGGTTGTTTTTTAGTTAAATTTAAGCAAGCCAATCTTAGCGGATTATTAATATTTTTTATTGTTAGTTTTTGAGTTGATACGAATTTAGCATTTTTTTAAGAAAAAGCCGCAGATTGTGGCGTTTTAATCTCACCTGATTTTTATCAATTTCACCATCTTGTAATTCAGCTTCGCCTTGCTCTTGGAATGTAATGATAATCAAGGCCACGAATATGTTTACAAAGAAGAATGGAAATACGATAAAATAAACGATATAAAATATGGACATTTCAATCCGGAAATTTTGTATTGGACCCCTATCTTCGTAAGTGGCAGCCATGGAGTGTTGCAGTACTCTAAATTATTGATTTGTAATAACAGGTAAGTAGGTAAGTAAGTATTTGTTTGGTGATTAGAATAATTGTTTAAATATTTTCAATAACATTTTGTTTTTTTTTTTTTTTTCAAAAATATTCTTATGGCTAGAATAACGTTTGTGAAAGAAAACTTAACTTAAAACTGTTGTATTTACAGGAAAAACAATAACGAAAAACAAAAAAACTTAACGCTAAATGCTAGAATAGAAAAACGTTTAGCTTACTGTGGCCATCCTTCGCCCGTTTGTACTGCGAATAGTGTTAACATTGCCGCGGCAACGTTGTCGTAGTGGAAACTTTGCGGCTTCCAAATGCGGGCCTCTTGTCTTGGCAGTAGTTCTCCTTCTTCGAATTTAAAATACGAACCCCTGTTGTCGTTTGATAACACATGACGACGGCCATGACGACGTAGACCACGATGATGGTGAGGGACAAATTTCAAGGATCAAGATGAAATTTTTGATTTGTGTGGTTGGTTGGTTGGTAGGTGGTTGTGGTGGTGGTGGATTTATTATTTGAAGTAAATTGTTGATTTATATATATTTTTTGGTAACATTTGTTTATAAAAATTAATTAAAATAATAATATAATGAAATTAAAAAAATTATTGAAATCAAAACAGGAATTAAAAAATAAAAATTTTTAAATGCAATGCTACAACTACTAAAAGCTTATGAAGTTATGTATTTTGCTGAATATTTGAACTCATGAGGAATGGCAAAAATGTAAAATGCTGGACTTTTTGTTTGCAATGTTTTGGAAACGGGTATTTTTTGTGAAGGAAGCTTTTATGATTTAGTTTTGGTATTTTTTTTTTTTTTTTGCATGAAAAGTTGTCTCTTTACACAAATTAGGCGTAAAGAAATAGTAAATGTTACAAAATCGTTACTACGTTTAAAAAAAAAAGCAAGTAGAAAGAAGCGGAGTGACTTTTGGTTTTTTTTTTTTTTTTTTTTGGTGAATTTTTGAAGCAGAATCGCATGTATTGATTGTTTGTTTTGTTTTGTTTGAATTGTTTTCGAATGACAGCTTTTGAGAATTTGTGTTGTTATTGGTATATGTTATTATTATTGTTTATTTTCATTAAGGCGCTTGATTGTTTAATTATGTTATAGATTTTCTTGTTGTTGCTGTATTGTTCTTTCTTCTCGTTTTTTTTTCTTTCGAATATTGTGAGCATTCTTTCTTAGTTTGTGTTTTTTTGGTTCGGTTTTTTTTGCATTCTTTTTTGAAATACTTAAAATATAATAATAATATAGGTTTACTTTTAAACAAAAAGCTTTTCACAAATGATACAGTGTTTTGTCCTAAAGCAGTTGAGTTTTCAATGGAAATATAAATTAGGGAAGCCATGGCTTCAAATTTAAATATTCGACTCTTCTATGAGATAATCCTCTTTTATGAGATAATCCTCCTTGATATGAAGAGAGTATGGTTTTCTAGGAGAAGACTTTTTGGTCTTCCGTGAGAAGACTTTTTGGTCTTCTGTGAGAAGGCCTTTCGGTCTTCTGTGAGAAGGCCTTTCGGTCCTCTGTGATTGAAGACAAAAAAGTATTCTCATATAAGAGCAAAAGGTCTTCTCATAGAAGAGCAAAAGGTCTTCTCATAGAAGAGCAAAAAGTGATCTCAAAGAAGACCAAAAGGACTTCTCACAGAAGACCGAAAAGCCTTCTCACAGTGTTCTTTGAAAACACTTTTTGCTCTTCTATGAAAAGGTCTTTACATAGAGAATACCTCTTCTATGAGAATACCTTTTTGTCTTCTATCAGAAGACCTTCGGGTTTTCTATGAAAAGGTCCTATGGTCTTCCGGTCTTCTGTAAGAAAACCTTCCGAACTTCTATAAGAAGACCTTCCGGACTTCTATGGGAAGACCTTCGAGTCTTCTATGAGAAGACCTTGCGGACTTCTATAAGAAGACAGTCGGGTCTTCTATGAGAAAACTTCCGGGTCTTCTATCAGAATACCTTCGGATTTCTATAAGCAGACCTTTCGGACTTCTATGAGAAGACATTTCGGACTTCTATGCGAAGACCATCCGGACTTCTATGAGACGACCTTCCGGACTTCTATGAGAAGACCTTCCGGACTTCTGTAAGAAGACCTTCCGGACTTCTATGAGAAGACCTTCGTGTCTACTATGAGAAGACCTTCCGGACTTCTGTAAGAAGACCTTCCGGACTTCTATGAGAAGACCTTTATGTCTTCTAAATGAATATCCTCTGAGGGTCTTCTAAATTGATTGTGGTCTATAAGAAGACCTTCAAGTCTTCTATAAAAGGATATTCGAGTCTTCTCTAAAAAGACATTCGAGTCTTGTATGAGTCCTCCTGAGAAAACCTTTCGGATATTCCAAAAGAAGACCCTCGGGTCTTCCAAGGAAGGAGAGAAGATTTGTTCATCTTCTTTGGGAAGATTTTCTGCTCTTCTATGGAAATACCTTCAGGATTTTTAAAGATAGACCTTCTGCTCTGTTATGTGAAGATTTTCAGATCTTTCGTAATATGACCTTCTGGACTGCTTTAGGAAGACCTTCTGGACTTCTATATATTCTGGTTTTCTTTAAGTAGACCTTGGGTCTTCTTCGGGAAAACCTTTGACATTCTTTGAGAAGACATTTAGGTTTTCTATGAAAAGACCCCTTTGGTCGTCAGTGAGAAGACTTTATGATCTTCTCTGGGAACTTAGGGTCTTTTATCAGAACACATATGCAGAACATAAGCAAACTTTCGAGGCTTCCATTTGTCTTTTATGAGATGACCTTCTTGTTTTCTGGTCTTCTACGAAAATACCTTCTGACCTTCTGGTGTTCTACTTCCCTATAAGAAGACCTTTGGTTCTTCTACACCATTATGATAAGACCCTCTGATCTTCTACTCCACTATTAGAAGACCTTCTACTCTACAACAGAGAGACTTTCTTCTGTTTTATGAGAAATCCTTCTGATAGGATCTGATCTCTATTAGAAGACAGTTATTCTCTATCAGCGAGCATCATAATTTTCTTTATAGAAGACATAGATTCTTCCCAGACAGACCATAATGCTGCTTATAATGTAATACCCCGTCAAAAATTCCAAACTGCCAGGTTTTTTTTCGTTTTTGGTTAACTGTACCGTCTTATTTAAGGTTATAGGCATAGTATTCACAAATCTTTGTAAAGATCACTTAACATAGGACTAAAATTAGATGTATCTCACAATTTTAGGTATTTGGAATGTCAAAGCAATATCTTCAAAAAATCTCTGTAGGTTCTTCATTTGTTATGTTAGTATTTCCAAACTTAAAGTATAGAGAAGCTATAGTTTGACATATCAGACCAATAAAGGATGCAAATATTACTGCAGACGAAGTCCACTATTGGTATAATGCCTGATATAACGAAGTTTTTTTATGTTTTAGTCAAAAATTTCCAGACAAGTGTCGTTAACTAGGCATCGTGGGTTCTCGTGAAGTTAAAATTAGCACTGCGAGAATTTTTTTAATTCCAATCCTCGTTTCGGCCCAGGGACTACATAGTGTCATTTTGGCAAACTTTAAAGGCTGGTTAAAGTCTTACATTTAAGTTAACAACTCGAGGTATTTATTTTACTCTTCGTTACCTAATGCTGAATTTCGAATTCATAATATGCGGTCTCGTAGTCATTGCTTCTGTAATTCATTACTTGGTAATAATGAGAACAAGTTATTCTTTTTTTAATTTTTTTAACACTGTTTTTAGTGGAAAAAGAAATTTATTTAATTTACTTTTAAATGTGGCGCCCAAATGTTCGCTGGTTTAAGGCTTTCAATTATTTGCTGGTTTCCCGTATCTGCGTCTTGCAAACTCTTCTTATCTTTCTTTTGATTTTTGTTTGCTTGTATACGGTCATAGATACTCCTGCAGAGGGCTCCTGGCTGAATTTGGAGGAGGATTCTGATTATAAGACGAACAAGTCCGTTAATTTACCACTTTATTTCATTGCAAGCTTATTTAACACTGTATCATTCATGTTCTGATGAATTAATAAATTATTTTCATCATCGTTTTTCTTTCTGTTTTTTTTTAGCTTTTTGTAAAAGTTTAATTGCACACGAAGGCAAACAGTCAAAAGATTTCAAATCTTTTGTTCGTTTGTTAAATTGTTATAATAAATAATTTATGAATAAATTATTTACACCAAACATATATTGATTGAGTGTGTTGTAAGATTGGTTGGTTGGTTGGTAGTTGTAATAGTTTAAGGTTTTCTTTTTTTTTTGGTTGATAAATAAGAAAATTAATTAAGAAGAAATTAATAAATAGTTATTGGCAGTAGTAGTTATACGTACATATAAAAGGTTGTCTATAACCAAAAACAAAAACAGAGGAGGGAACATATAACACAAATACCAATTGTCGGTTATTTTTGGTTATTTGATCGATTTGCTGTTCTAAACAAAACAAAAATACTAAAATTTCGTTTTTTTTGGCCATGTTAAATTTTTAGCACACTAAAATCGATTTGGTTGAAAATTTTTTCTAAAGAAATTTTGTCAACTAATGGTTACAGTAAACTATGTTTTATTTTGTTACTAAATTTTTTTAATATCAATTATGAAGTGATCTAATTGAGTATTAATTTCCACTAAATATTAAGCTATTATTTGTTTTGGTATTTTTTCTGGTATTTATTTTGCTAGCAGCTTTATTTTAGTTTAAGGATGAGGAGTTCAAAAGGAGTTTAAGATGCTTTTTGTTTAGTTTAACTAATTTTTTTATTATTATATATATATGAAAATATATATTTTGTTAAGTAAATGAGTAGTAGTATTTGAGATTGACTAAATCCAGACTTGAGAATTTCCTGCGTTTTGGTTTTTTGCTTTTAGAGTTTTCATTTTTTTTTTTGCGGTGTAGAGATGTGCAGGCAAAATAGCTTTTTGCACATTTCTAGGCCTTGTTTGGTTTTTGAATTGGTCTAATTGAAAAATTGAATTGTGAATTGGAATTTTGAGCGCGCATGTGTATAAAGCTTATTAAGAAATCTTCTGGCAGTAGTATGGACCTTTGGTATTTTAACAAAAAATAAAATACCCAATTCACAAAATATTCAGCTTTTCTAATTTTTTTGTTTCATTTTTTTTCAAACGTTATAGCACAGTGATTGTGATAATTGATACATATATATGCTTAGTCCTTTTACTACTCAAAATGCAAAAGTAGATGACATAAAAAGAAAACAGGGAAAAAATTCATAATTGTCTTCAATTATTTCCAAACATTTTTAAAGCATCGCTCTCGCTTTTCTAAACAAATCATGGTTCCTCATCTAATTAGATTTATAATTCTGGAATTTTTTATAAATTTCGTTTGCTTTTTGCTCTTTACGTTTTCAATTGGAAGCCAGT